TATGAGGTGGATTGATTCAGTGACTGGGATAATTGGGATGGGAGTGTCGGAGACAGTGCGATTGGCACAGGACAGAGCAGAGTTTAGGGCTGTTGTTCATAGGGTCGCTATGAGTCGCAGGCGACTTGACGGCACATAACAACAACAAACAACAACATATAAATAATAATAAATCAATTAAAAAATAACCTAAGAGCATTTAGTATTTTTTTTCCTTCCTAATTGTGCCCCTCATCATTCCCTAAGTTTTCTTCCTTTCTGGTAACATTAAAATGCTTATAGTTCTCCATGGTTACTATATGCTGCTTCAATCTTATTGACTTTGTTCCTTGCCTTCTCTCTTATATTCACTTGTTTAACATACTTTCATCCTATTGGCTCCACAATAAACCCCCTTGGTACCAATGGTCAAGAAAAGACATATTGCATTGGCCAAGTCTGCTTTCAGGGACCTCTCCAATGTACTGGGGAACAATAATGTCAATTTAGCAATTAAGCTATGCCTGATTCAGGCCATGATCTTTTTAATCACTTGCTATGTATCTTAGAACTAGACAATAATTAAGGATGACAGAAGAAGTAGTGATGACTTTGACCTGTGGTGTTATAGTGAAGAATAACTGAATATCCCATGAGCTGCCACAAACAGAGATGTCTTGGAGAAAATGCAGCCAGAGTGCTGCTTAGAGGCAAGGATGATGAAGCCTTGTCTCAAATAATTTGTGTGTCATTAGGAGGAGCTATTCCTTTGAAAGGAACATCACCCTTGGAAAGTGAAAGGGAGAAAGACCCTTAACGAAATAGATTGACACAATGACTACAGCAATGGGCTCAAGTATGTCAGAGATGATGAGGATGGCACAGCATAGAACAGGGTTCAGATCTATTGTTCACAGGTTAGGGCAGAGACCAGACCTATTGTTGCTATGAGTCATACTTGATTCAAAGGCACTTAACAACAACAATTAGACTTGGGAATTCCACCATGATAGTTATTTCCAAAGTGAACTTGTCATTCCATATTAACCTATCTGAGTTTAAGAATTCTCACTACAGAATATACCAACAATAAGAATAAGTCTGTCTCTCTCTTCTCATTGTCATCAAGTAAAAATTGTCCAATAGCTGATCCTTAAGTGAGGTTTCTGAGGTTACAAGACTACTCCTCTTTCTCCCAGAGTTGTGGGTGGCTTCTAACTGCCAGGAAGTCACTGCCTTTGGTTTAGCAGTGCAATTCCCTATGGACTAGGCCATCAGAACTCCCCAGGAATAAGACTGCTCTTGTTTACCATCAAGTCAGAACTGACTTAGAGTTGACCCTCCAGCAGGTTTTCAGAGGCAGTGTTAGCACGGAAAGAGAGTATCCAGCTTTCTCCTGTAGGTCTGCTGGTGAATTTCAACCACATGCCTTTGGTTTGATAGTACAATTCCTTGCCAATAAGCCACCAAAGTACATAAGTTTTAACTGACTGAGGAGCCAAACATTGTTTGAAGTCTTAGACCTACATTAAATTCTCTCAGTGTTATGCCAATTCTATTAAGTTGGCTCAGTTAGCACTATTCTTTTGTAGACGAAGAAGAGGTTAAGTAGCTTTGTTATAGACACATGGATTATCAAATGACAGAGATTCAAATGTAGATATCAGGTCCTCCTAACACTTCCTGGAATTTTTTCTTTTCTCACTAAAGTGGTTCAGTGTAAGCCTTTGGAGACCCCAGAGTTGGGTACCATAACCTGTACTCATCCTTTGGGAAACTTCAGCTTCAACTCTCAGTGTACCTTCAATTGCTCTGAGGGAACAGACTTAATTGGGATTGAAGAAACCACTTGTGGTCCATTTGGAAACTGGTCATCTCTAGAACCAACTTGTCAAGGTGAGTAACTGTCCAGATTATTGGCTTAATCATGGAAGTCTTGTATTTGAGTGTGAAAAAATTATAATAGAGTTTTGCTAAGAATTTGGAATATTCTGTTGGAGCATTAGTCCAAATTATATTATACTCTGATGTTTCTTAAAAGGCATATTGTTACTAAAAAGAAAACCTAAAATAGTACCAAACATCCTATTACCTCTGAAGTGATCTTGCAATATTTTTTCTTTTCTGTTTTCATTGCTGTGATGAACACAGTAAGTCTTGCTGAATTGATTTAATTTTTACTTTCTTCTTCCTTCAATAACACCTGCTTTATGTGGTGTCCTACTTAACATCAACCAGTTTCTTCCTAAGAGAATAGAGGTCCTTATTTTATTTGTTTTATTCTTAAGGTCATCTTTCACTCTTCCTTCTTTGAAAACTATCTGAAAAAAAATCTGTTCTGAACGACAAAAATGCATTCCTTTCTCTCTTCATTAGACAATTGTTTCCCCCTTTTCTTAAAAATATTATTGTTTTATGAGAGATAGCTGCACTTTAGAAGAATTGGTTGCACTTTCTATACTTAAATTCTCAACTCACCACCGTGTTAAGTGGTCTAATTATCAAAGGAGCTATCAGAATCCATTATTCAGAGAATGCATTCAACTGGCTAAATTTGATGAAAATTGAGTCACTTATTTTACGGAGCTGAGATGTTTTCCAAATCTGAGTTGTTAGGTTTTATATGTAAATAAACATACAAAAGTCTAACAATACATGTTTGGAAACATCCTAGTTCCTAAAACAAGTCACTGAACTTAGACCAACTTTAGTAGGTTGACTTTAGAGCCCATGAAAGGGTGTAAACGCTCTATAGCCCAGAGGAGTGCTCCCTCCACTCCTCAGGTTTTGGTGCTTACTTGGTTTCTCTGCCTCACCACCCTCCATCATTCTCAAAAAGTAAAGTCTGACAATATTATCAGAGTTACTAGCAAGTATGTGTGAATACTTCCACAGTTGAGTTAGGAACTTGGGATAAATGATTTTGGTTAAGGGAAGTCTCTTGACTGAGATTTTTTCTTTCCCCCTCATCTCTCATTGAAGTGACTAGGTGCGAACTGCTAACAGCACCGGACCTGGGAACAGTGCACTGTAGCTATGACCTGGCAGACTTTAGCTTGACCTCCATGTGTATCTTCAGCTGCTCAGAGGGGACTGAGTTAATCGGGGCAAACGAAACAACTTGTGGATCATCTGGAATCTGGTCTAACCCTAGTCCAATATGCCAAAGTAAGTTTGGTAAGACACACTGAAGGTGGAAGTGATAGATGCACAGTTTGGTCTGGAAAGAGCTATTGAACTGTCAAATTTTGTTTTTCTCAATGTATGTAGCTTAAATTGATGCTCACATTAATCTAGTATATGATTCTCAGTTGTCTTCCTTCTTCTTAAATGACAATAATTTATTTTTCTTTTTGCCAATCCTCAACTCCTCTCTTCATTTTAACCCTTAAAAATCAAACACCATCTCTACTGCTTCATTTCTTAACTATTCTTGTGTTCTATTACCATCAGAATTCTTTATTATCTCATTGAAATGCCTCTACAAAGGTCACTGATGACCACTTACTTTGCCAAATAGTGACTGTTTCTCAGTTATTATCTCTAAGCTAATGTTTCCAATTCTGTCTCTGCAAGAGAAGGATTGTATCTTCCTCATCTTTGTATGCTCTCCATAGTGTTGGGAGGGTGAGAGGTGAAATAGGTCCTTAATAAAGGGATATTATCTTAACATATAGATATTGAAAGGGCAACTGACTGACTCTCTGGTGGGTTTTCAGAGTCAGTGAGTCATATAGGAGGAGATTTGCCCACAGATGTATACATATGTGCTTTAGTGCCTCTGGCAGTTTGCACTCACCAGAGGAGAAAGATGGATAATTTATTGTGCAATTTATTGCTTTGGAAACTTGTTGGAAGGTCTTCGAGTGGTTTCCAACTCAACAGCAATGAGTGTATACACACACACACACCCAACTCCACTACTTGTCATCAAATTAGAACTCATAGCTGACCCTCAAGCGAGTTTCCAGAAGTTGTAAATCACACAGGAGAAGATTGTCCATCTTTCTCTCATAGATCAGCTGGTGAATTTGGACCACATGCCGTTGGGCTGGCAGTGAAACTCCTTACCACCAAACTACCAAGCCTCCCTAATATGCAAAAATAACTTCTTTCAATTGATGGAATCAAGACAGATTATGCTAGTTTTTCACATTGATATTGTTTATAATAAAGTCTCTCAAATTAACTGAGTTTATACTTCAAACAAAAAGCTGAACAAACAAACCTCATTGCTGTTGAATTGAAACTGACTCATAGTGAACCCTCCAGTGGGTTTTTGTTTTTGTTGTTGTTGTTGTTGTTGTTATGTGCCATCGAGTCTTTAGAGGCTATAAATCACATGGAAGGAGACTGCCCATCTTTCTCTCCCAGAACAGCTGGTGGATTTGAATCACCTTTGGGTGGGCAGCATGACTTTCTACCCACTAAGTCACCAAAGGATACATAATTATATCCTTTTACTTATTTGTCAAGGAAGAGGAGGAAAGTAGTAGAGTTATTTTATTTGAGAGGTTGGTTGGTCTAGGTTCCTTGACATGCAAACAGAAATAACAGTGCATTTTATTGGCACAGCTGCTTTAAAATGAAAGCATTTGTGGTTTCCTTTGACTGAGATGTTCCCTTGTTTAGATTATTGACTTTCAGCTTCCTTAACATTTTATTTGACCTTTTAGTTCTTTACTATGCTTCACAGTCCCCACCATTCTATAAGACTGTGGAACTAAATGTAATGGTGACCATTTATTATCAAGAGTTGTTGGTTAATCTTCCAGAAATTCCATGAATCACAAACCTTGGAAGCCATAATTTATAGGCATTGGGCTAGGGAGGCTGGTCTAATCTATGCTTCTGACACTGAGGCATCACAGGCCTTCCCACACCAACTTTCTCATCTGTCAAATGGCATCAAGTGGGCAACTACTGGGAGGTCTGAGGAGGAGACAAGTTAAACATCAGATGATAGCATTAAGGAAATAATGTGTGGTCTCAGTGTATGGTGCCCTACTGATTTGTCTTTTAGAACTGGACAGGAGTTTCACAATGATCAAGGAAGGCAATTATAACCCCCTCTTCATCCCGGTTGCTGTCATGGTTACTGCATTCTCTGGATTGGCATTTATCATTTGGTTGGCAAGGCGATTAAAAAAAGGTATGTGAATTTAAGTTGATGTGAAAAGAATACAGCTTTTACGTGAATACACATACACACACACGAAAACCCCCCGTAAGAAATTACATATGATAGATCCAACTGAAGCTTGATACTAAGGTTTATGTTCTGTAGTCATGAGTCTCTAGAGATCTATCAGCAGCCCCAGCACACACCTTTATAAAATTTGCTGGCTGATTTTTGCTTTTTGTTCAATTAACTAACAAAGACTTATTATGCTCAAGGCTTCTGACTTAGGTGATAACCAGAGTTAATCAGGCATTCTAATTGTTCTTCACTTTTCATTAATTCTGAAAAAAGAAAACATAATCTTTGTCCTCTAAAATCCTTTCTCCCTTTGATTTCTGTGCTACAGTCCTGATAGTAAATGCATGTAAAGTCTGGTAGAGTTTTTGAGGAGCTGGTTCCAAATAGCTGACCTTTAAAAGAGTCATGACGTGAGTGGGAAATGCATCGACACTGAAAGAAGTCCCCAGGTGTTCTCACCAGTACTATTTGCCAAGGCAATAAACTGACCAGATGCACCACAAGCTCATGCTTTCCTTCTTCTCTGGACTGGAACAGGAAAGAAGACAAGCTGCCTTGAGAAGCTACTGTCTGCTGCCAAGAACTCTGGTGGTCTAAAGAGGAAGGAATTGCATTGCTAACCTAACAGCAGGCAGTTTGAATCCACCAGTTGTTCCAATGGAGAAAGATAGGCAGACTCCTCCCTTGTGATTTACAGCCTCTGAAAACCTGCATGAGAGTCAGCAAAGAATGTGAGTGAGAAGAGAGAATGGCACATGAACAGAGAAGCACTTTCCTTGTCTCCATTCTGAGCATGTGCAAGGCCTGAAGTGGGACGGCCCTGCCCATCAGGTGGATGTCATGTCCAGCAGGGATTGGGTGTGCACTGTCACAGTTGACAGCCACCACCGACTCAGCAGAGGTATTCAAGACGGTGAAATACAAGTGCCTTATGCAGTTTTTAAGATATTAATGGATGGAGTCATGATGACCTCAAAATAACTCAAGATCCACTACTCTGTCCTGCCTTTTCATGACATTAGTTGATAGTAATCTTCATTTCATTTCCATCAAGTTAGTACTGTGTATTCTGTTTACGGACTATAATATGCAAAGGCTGCCCCCACCTGCAGTGACATTTATAATAGTATTATCTAGCAAGCCCTAGTGCTCTTCCACTACAATCTGCTCTTTCACCCTACATTTAAGAACAGGAGTGGTAGGTGAGTCTTCTAGCCAATTGCAAATGACAACAAAAGGGTGCTATCAACAGGGGAAAACATCAACTGAGCCCTTAGAGCCCTGACTAGGTAAAGGAGCTGTGTTCCTATTGTGAGAAATTTGCTAAGGTTGGAGCCTGTCAATTAATTATATGAAGTGAAGTATTTAAAAGAAGCTCTGGTGATACAAAGTAGAAGGTTTGGTGGTCTGAGCCCACACAGAGGCTCATTGGAAGAAAAACTTGGTCACCTGCTTTCAAAAAGAATACAGCTCAGAAAATCATCTTGGGCATAGGCTCTGTCACATGGGTTTACTATAAGTCAGAATTGACAGCACGGCACCTAACAGGTACTGAAGTAATGTACTGAAACAAAAGGTGATTGGGTTGGTTTTTTTCTCTCTCACACAACTTATTATAATTTCCTCTGAGTCTTGTTTGTCTGACTCGAGTGAGCAGTTACACGTTGCCCTCTGGGATAATGGGAGCTCCAGTGCTTAGTGGGTGAGGAGTGGTGCTGCCAGCCCAAAGGCATGTGGTTTGAATCCACTAGCTTCTCCCAAGGAAAAAATAAGCAATCTTATCCTTTGTGATTTACAGCCTCTGAAAACCCACTGGAGGATCAGCTATGAGTTAGGGCACATAACAATACCGTCTGGGATAAAGTAGTTATTATCTAAATCTTAAAGACTGTGGGGCTGAGTTTTTTCCATAAGGGAGTTATTTGTCCACAAATTCCAACTTTTTTTTTTAGAAGAAAATGTTGTTGTATAACACCAAGTCAGAACTGACCCTCAGCTGACCCTCCAGTGGGTTGTCAGAGGCAGTAAACGATGAGAGGAGATTATCTATCTTTCTCCTATGGAACAGCTGGTGGATTCAAACCACTTGCCTTTGTGTTGGCAGCACAAGTCCTTACTACAAAGCCATCAGAAGGAGCTCTGGTGGCCTAGTGGCAAGAAGCTGCACTGCAATCCCGAAGGCATGTGGTTCAAGGCCACCAGTTGCTCTGTGGGAGAAGGATGGTCAGTCTCCTCCCATGCAATAACTGACCCTGAAAACCTACCTAATAGTCAGTTATGGGTCAGTTCTGACTCGATGGTACACAAAAACGGAAGAGGAACAATAGTATCAAGGTTATAAGAATTTAGTGATGGGTTAGCTGGCTTTACAAAGAGTGGTGAGAAAAGAGGTGAGGCTGTTTTTACAATTTTTACTTTACTTTGGAGTCATTTCTGTACAAGATCTCAAACAGATAGCTTGCTTGGAAAGTTGCATGCCCTTACTGTGGGAATCGGTATGGGGCGAACAGGAAACAGATAGTGGGCAGTCTGACTAAATACAGTTCTGCCAGCAAAGAGAAGAGAAGCCCCAGAAGTCAAGGTGTCTTAATTGCAGCGCTTAAATAGTATTGACTTGGAAAACACCTTCCAGCATGATCTCAACCAACTCTCAAAGGACTCTGGGTTTCAATAATGGGATCCAATAGTAGTTAAGTCAGTTCTTTGAACAAGGAAGAAAGTTTTTCCTGTATAGACAATGTTAGAAGTGGTGCTTGGGCTCCCAGACTAAACTCCTATAATTTTTCTGCTGCAAAATTTAGCCCATACACTTGCAATGATGAAATTAAAAAACATAGCTGTATCTATATAATATTTCCTCTTCTGACAAATCAGATAAGCTTCTTAGTTTCTGAAAGCTGGAGAAAGGAAATAAATGAATATTTATAGCACAGTGGACAATTAAATGTCCAAAAAGTTAATTTTTACCTCAGTTTTTAGATGAACCATCTGAATTGGTACCTTCCTTAAACATTTTGGTATCTAGAAAAGAGCTCCAAAAACGTATTTTCCCTGTGTGTCAGCGGTGGGGGCCTAGTGGTAAGAAGCTGCGCTGTAATCTCAAAGACATACGATTCATGTGCACCAGCTGCTCTGTGGGAGAAGGATGGGCAAGCTCTTCCGGTGCCATTTACTGCCTCTGAAAACCTGCTGGAGGGCCAGCTATAGTTTGGTGACAACCTCACTGCACACAGCAGCAACCACAAACAACAGACTTGTCTAGAAAGACTTCATGTTCCTAGCATCCTCCGTCTCTGATTAGTCCTTATCACCAGCTCTGCTTTGTAAACAAGGAAACTAAGGAAAAGAGGTTGCTCTCTGTGCACGCGCATGAACACCACACACACACACACACACACACATTGCTTTCAAGTAGATTCCAACTCTTGATACCTCCATGTGGAAGTGCTCTATCTAAGGTTTTCTAGCTGCAATTATTTTTTGACGCAATATTTGATTTTATTAAAATAGAATTTGTTTGCCTCCAGTCATTAAAAAGACAGATAATAACTAAAATAAGAAACATTTTCGTACTGACTTTTTCTCTCAAATAATGTAGAGGATTCCTTATAACTTTACCTCTTTCAAATTTGTGATATTGTCTATGTGCAGTTTTATTTTTATGGCAGATTTCCAGCCTTTTCTTCCATGGGACCCTGGTGGTTTCAAACTGTCAATCTTTAGCTTAATGGTCAAGTGCAAATCATTTACATCCAGGGACCTTCTTGCCAGATTTCTAAAATTCCCTATTAAAGGGAGCCACAGTCAAAGACCAGAGTTTCATCCAGATATGGCCCATAAAACCACTGGCATTAGATTAATGAGACTAGCGTGCCTTGGTTGGAAGAATTTTCCACCAAAACCAACACACAAGGTTAGAAGAGGGCATGAAACTGAACACCTGCCCTCTTTGTTCCCCTTTTTTGAAAAAAAAAACCAAAAAATGAAAAAAAAAAACCAACCCACAACAAAAAGACCTTTCAATAGGAACAGACTGTTGCTCACATTACTATATGTTTCATTGCTCCCAAATGAAAAATACAGCTATAGGAACATAAACAAACAGGCCTTGACATTAATTCAGATTTTATTCTCCCTGTCCTAATGGTCCATACCATTGAAAGTCTAAATTTTGGAAACAAGATTTAAAATAATAACTGCTGACACTTTAAAAATGTAACTCAATAATTGAGGATCAAGTGTCAGATCCCAGCAGAAGTATTTTTTTCTTATTCAGTAGCTTTATCAAATCAATGAAGAAGATACAATCATTATAATTTCAGAAATGAGGAAATTGTGGCCCAGGGACCCTACAGATAGCAAATGGCATTTGCACCTGGCCTAGACGATTGGAGAATTTCAATTTATAGGCCTTGATGTACTGCTTCCAAATCACTTTCTCCTCAGAGACACTTTTTTTTTATTTTATTTCCTCTGGAATTAAATGCAATTCATTCACGTATTTACTTAATTTTCGTTTTTTGAAAAAAGTAAAACTGTTTAGAAAATATATTCAACATACAAAAAAATAACCCCACCCAAACCAAAAATATAGTCATTGCATCAGCTGCAACTAATGGCAATCTTCTGTTGGATTTCCATGGCTACAAAGGAGCCATTTTTACGGTTCCTTTAAAAGGAGCTCTGGTAGCTTAGTGGTAACAAGTTGCACTGCCAACTCAAAGGCAGGCAGTTTGAATCCACCAGCTATTCCTCAAGAGAAAGATGGATAGTCATCTCCTTGTGATTTCTATCCTCTGAAGACGGCTTGGAGGGTCAGCTATGAGTAGAGTTCAACTTGATGGCAAATTACATGCAGCAACAATAACATAAATCTATAAGGGACAGAATGACTTCAGCTTTCTCATAGGGATCAGATGGTAGGTTTGATCCATCAACCTTTTGGTTAGCAGCCCAGCAT